AGAGAGAGAAACCGCTCCGACAGAACACGTTTCCTGCAGACTCCCTCTGCACCTGTCCTACCGTGTCTCTGTCCCTCAGTACTACTGTCTCTCTCTCTTCCCTAAGAAAACAGCCCGGGGTTTCTCTTTCCACCGGTGTGGGGAACTCTTTCTACTTTACGGAACCTCTCAGACGACCAAGTCCCCAAATGGTAGTCTACCATTTACTCTACCCCATTTTCTGTAACCCTTGTATTCCTTCCGTTCCCTCACCTTCGAAATAAAGGGGTGGGTGGGCGGGAAAGAACGCAATTTCTTTGCCTCCTAGCCTGGCCAATCCTTTGTACAGTATCCCTCTCTGAGTCCACCAACTACTGATGTTATGCAGTTCTGCTATTGCACGCCTGTCCAGCAGGCCTTCTCCTAGCACATGAACTCTCCGAGAAAGTGACCACTCCAAAATACTCTTCTCTATTCTGATACTCCGAAAAACAGGAACAAAAATGCCTCTGGCAAATTCGACGGTTTCAATAAACAGTAGTCTGCATCGGCTATATCTGCCTCACCAAACTTGCTATTTACTGTTTTTCTTTCGAATTTGCCATTTTTGCATTAATGTTTTCTCTTCACACGGGGGGAAGAGAGAGAAACCACACTGACAGAACACGTTTCCTGCAGACTCCCTCTGCGCCTGTCCTACCGTGTCTCTGTCCCTCAGTACTACTGTCTCTCTCTCTTCCCTAAGAAAACAGCCCGAGGTTTCTCTTTCCACTGGTGTGGGGAACTCTTTCTACTGTTCGAAACCTCTCAGACGACCAAGTAACCAAATGGTACTCTACCATTTACTGTACCCAATTCGAGGTCGTCATGATGGGTTCACTACTGTGGAACATCGTCTCTTCTTCCTGCTAACCCACACCGTGTTCTCCCCCGGCTGTCTCGCCGCTCCCATTTCCTTATCGCCTAATATGCTCGACACCCGTCGCGAATCCTCCACATTGATTTCTGTGTATGGCGTGCACGCATCGTACTTCCACCTCCCTGCCCTCTGGATTACTCGTTCCCAAACCTCCCCAGATTGGAAGGAAGTGCAAATCAGAGTATTTTGGTTCACCCCCCGACTTCTTGACTACCTCGCGAAATGCCCACAGATCCTGGCCATACCGTATCGCTTTGACTTCACGACCGCTACGGTACGAGGATAGTGGCGCATCGTCGAGCAGCGTCGCATGACAAGACACCAATTCCACTATCGGAGCCACGGCACCGCCGTTTGCTCTGTACCCCGACTGCGCGCCACTAACCACATCCCGTGTGCTACTCGAAACACCAAGCAGCAAGGTCTATCAAAGCCCACACCACCTCTTCGGGCGAACATATTCAGCCCCATCAGCCTGCGAAAAATACACAAAACCGGAAACCTGACGCGCTGACTAATAGAGATTGGCCCCGCCGTGCGGCCGAGCCCTTACCCCTATGGGCTATTAGGTACTCCGCCACGGCCGATAGCGCCGCCCGCGCCATCTCCGCCACTGCCTCGGCCTCCTCCGCCGCTGCCACCGCTGCCGCCGCCGTGACCACCGCGGCGTCGTTCGCCGCCCACAGTTCCACCTAGCTCTCCGCCTCCGGTGCCCATGTCCTGATCGCGTCCACCGCCAGCGTCTCTACTCCCAGCGCTCGTGTGGCGGTTGGGTTTGTTGGCATGGTCCCATGGGCAATTCCGGCGTGTACACCCCCCCGATCTGTCCTCCATAAAACACCGGCGGTCGCCGGAACCCCCCGGGCGGGGACGCTTGGTCGGAGACATGATCGAGTGGTTGCCGCGGAGGACGATGTTGCGCAGTCCTCCAGAAGCGATGAAATTGCCGGTGACGTTCCACTGAGGCCCCACCACCGGTGGCGTGGACTCGATGTGCGGCGGCGTCGGGTACTGCTTCTTAAATGCCAGAGCTCTGGTGAACCATGTCGACGTCCATTGGCCTACAGGTCCTCGTCGACCATGTCCGCCATCTTTTTTAACGTGGCAGCATCGGTCATCTTCGAACGGTGTTGACATTGGGCACGGACCATGCCAACACCTTCCTGAAGCTGCTGACGAAGTATCTCTAGGCGCGTTTTCCCGTCCTCCGACCCGATCCCAACCTTCAGGACTTTCATGATGGCGTACACCAGCGTCTCCATATGTTCCACCAGGTTGGGGCGGGTGAGGGTCGGATCGTCACACTCCGCGATGTACATCCTTACGCGGGATCCCGACATAGCGTTCAGCTGTTCGAGAACCCCCGCGGTCACCCGCACCGCGTCCCGCATCAACGACTGTATGTCGATGATCTTGAGATTTGCAACCGTGGGCCGTTCGCCGATCAGCATCCATATTTTCATTATGGAGAGGTTGTGCCATGCCGCTAAAGATTCCTTGGCCCGAGCGTTCTGCACGTGCACCATGGACATGGGCGGTGCCGAGCGCGTCAGATCCAGGAATGCTGCCGGCGTCGCATCCTCGGCCGGGAGCGAGTCTCTCGCCGGTGTTTGCCCGCCCCCGTTCGAAGTCGGCTCCCCAGCCGCCGGATGGGCTATACGTATATACTGCGCGTCGGTCATTGGCCGACAGCTGCGACGGACACTCGTGACCTCGCAGCGGCAAATTGCTTCAAATATGTGCGTACGCGCTAGTGCTGCAATTCGAACCAGTACCCCGATGTGTGTGTGTGTGTGTCTTGTGACACCACCAACCCAAGCGCATGGTGTTTTTCTCTCGCGCGGTCGTTGTAAAATGAGGTGTATACTACACAAGTGCCGCCGAGATAAAGGGACACCAACAGGCATCGTGTGCCATCATCCTGAGTATGGCTTCGCCTCCGTACCCGACATATCGCTCTTTCAAGAAACGTACTGAACGTACCAGTGAGTTCAGGCGGCCCACCGCGTCCAGTTTGATGGCTCAATTCTCCTCTGCTGCGGGCTCCGCTTCAGAGGCGCCGCTCCCGACTCCCGGTCTCCCAGAATCCCAGGCTCCCAGAAAGAGAAAAAAGCGCAATTTCTTTACCTCCTAACCTGGCCATCCTTTGTATCCCTCTCTCTGAGTCCACCTACTACTGATGTTGTGCAGTTCTGCTATTGCACGCCTGTCCAGCAGGCCTTCTCCCTGCACATGAACTCTCCGAGAAAGTGACCACTTCAAAATTCTCTTTTCCATTCTGATACTCCGAAATACAGGAACAAAAACGCCTCTGGCAAATTCGACGGTTTCAATAAACAGTAGTCTGCATCGGCTATATCTGCCTCACCAAACTTGCTAATTGTTGACATCTCGAAAATCAACGTGACAGTTAGATCGTGCGATCGCTTGAACCCACGCGGTTTCTCTTGAAGCAATCCCTTCCATCTACGTGTTTACGGAGTACATTTACTACACCCTCTGTACGGTATGTGACTAACTACAGTGCAAGCGAGGTGCAGTCGACTTGCTGTGTTGTCCTAAATTCGACATGTGGTTCAACAGCTTCATGTACAGTGAAAGTGAGGTGCAGTCGACTTGCTGTGTTGTCCTAAATTCGACATGTGGTTCAACAGCTTCATGTACAGTGAACGTGTACAGTAGCAACCACTACACCGCGATTTCCTCCACAGGTCGCGAAGAAGTAGTACCCATACGTATGCATACAACGTGAACAAATTCAACAGAGAAGAAAAAAATGTTCTCTGTCCGAGCTCCCGCGAACCAGTGGAAAATGCAGCTGTGAGAACTTTTGAGAACTTGCTTCTCAAACGGAAGTCTTTTTACGCACATGACACATGACACATGACAAATGCAATATGTAGGAGACTTTCGACAAGTCGTAGATCTAGTTAGCTGGGTCTCCCACAGCTGTCTCTCGCCAAGGTTGCCAGCTGCGCGCTATACAGATGCTGAGAAAATGGCAGCTGCGCAACCCGAAGGCCCAGTGTTGTTTGGGTAGATTGCGCAGAACAACTGAACCATTGCAGAAGAGAAGATGAGAGATGAGAGGAACTCACCTGCTGATGGCACACGCACGAGCACGCGGTGGACCTGGGAGTCGGTCTTGATTGTCTCAATGCTCGCTGTGTTTTATGCTGTTGGTTGTCTTGTTATGTCGCACCAGTGTCCGGCGCAACGGCGCAGCGTCAGACGCGGGCTTGCCTGCGTCTGTGTAGTGCTTGTGTGCTTGCTTGCATTTGAGAGAGCACGCGGATTGAAATAACCCCCCCCCAATACTTTTGCGGGATCTTTCGTAACCAGGTCTGGACACAGCGAGCAGGACCGGGGCGACGTCTGATGTTGCGCCATTCCGCTGGACACTGGTGCGACACAGCAAGACACAGCCAGCAGCAGTACCCAGCGTGTACATCGAAACACTCCAGAACGACCTACCCTCGGAGTACCGCGCGTCCACCGTGACTGCTCGTGCGTGTGCCATCAGGTGAGTTCCTCTCATATTCCTCCGTCCTGTTGTTCTGCATATGTAGGTTCAGTGCAAGCTTCCAGAACAAGACTACATGTTGGGCGTTGTGGTTGCGCAGCTACTCAGCATCTACGCAGCGCACAGCTGACAAATTGGCGAGACACAGCTCACAGCAGACCCTTCCGGTCCCACTTGTGGTCTCAATGTCTGTCCGTGGACGAGAGAATTTTCTGTTGGTCCGCACAGCGCTGAATTTTCCACGGGCTCCCAGAAGCTCGGTTACATTTCACGATGGCAGTTACATCACATGACGAGCAGTCGCGGAACGAGCACATTTGACATACACTCGTGGGCCCTGTTTAGCGGTCCATAGTGTCACGAAATTTATAACCGTTATTCAGGGCATCGCCGCTAAAACCTCTTTAGCGGTTATGAACCGCTAAACCGGGAGGCTCAATAGCGCTGATGAGCCGCTAAACCGGGAAAAAGCCCATTCTTGCCCATCAAGAGCAGCGTCGAAAATTCATCTTGATACGGCCTGCATGTGTGCCATTGCAGCAGTCATACGAAGGTGCAGATGAAGAAGTATCGACCCTAAGGATGACAACACAGCAAGCACATTAGGGCATTTCAATTCACGAGAGCGTAAGCTCTTTTTCCCTGATGGACTGCTGCATGCCCTTCTTCATAAAGGCTGGAAAATCGTTCCCGTCTGTAAGGAACGCCGGGCACAAGTTCGTGACAACGCAATAGCAACCAACCACGTGCTTGAGCAGCAGCTCGTATTTGTCGCGTGTATCGATCATGCTTAGTCCAACACCTCTCTGATATTCGCTGCGAGGAACGCCATTTTTGTCTTGCAAAGATAGTGTGCTGCCTCGTCCACGCCACACAACTCCGCGCACTCTTCAAGCTGGCCAAAATCCACCGATAGCTCCGAGTAGGGGGCTGCACCATCACCCCCTTTCGCTTCGCACCGTCAACTTCTGCGGTGCAATCTCGCTCTAGCTCTAGCTCTAACTCGTCGTCGGATAGGCCCCTCCATGTACATACTGGAGAACTTCTCAACGGGCTTGTTCTTCGATCCTTCTGCAAAGCTTCGATCTATTCCTGCGCGTTATTTCTGAGTGCGCTACCTTCTAGTCAAGAATATTCAAAACCTCAAACTTCTTGGCAAAGTTGGGCCGCGTGCGGGGCTGTCGTGTAGCTGCAGCGCGAGTTGTTTTTTTTCGCGCCTGGTGCTAGAAAGCCACTTCCCGCCTCTTTGCGCTTGGTTGGGTGGTTTTGAGAAGCGAGGGGAACTCTGGACCTTCTTGACTGCACACTATTATTCGGCTAGGAAGTATATATTGGTCCTAGCGGCGAGAGAGCATACCTCGCTGCACGCTTCTTTCGTTTCGCTTTGTTCCTACACGGCGGAGAACGACATGCCGAGTCCTTCCTGTCACTCCACCATATTACTACGTACTATTTCCGTTTCCACTCCTCGATCGCATCCTTAGTTTGGACCTTTCTACGTTGATCGTTGGGACCTCGATCATTCTTTCAGTTGAGAGTGCCATCGCCTTTGCCACTCTCTTTCTTTCAACTGCCGTGACAGAGAGAAAAGACGCTGGTTGCTCCCTCATCTCGAGACCAATGGCGGACGTCGCGGTCATCGTTCTCGGTGTAATGGCCCAGATCCGCGATATTGTGAAAGACATCAAAGAGAACGACCGGCAAGCTTGTCGATTGATCGAGAGAGTGAAAGCCATCCAACCTGCTGTACTCGCCGTCAAGCAGGGCACCAACACGTCTTCTTCCGATTCATTGAGCCAACTCTTAGCGACTGTGGACATGATCCGAAACTTCTTGGAAGGCTACGCACAGATGTCGAAATTCAATCGCGCCCTCAAGCGGAAAGCAAACGCCAGTGAGTTCACACAATTCGGCGTTCTCCTCACCGAGGGCGTGCAAACGCTTTCGCTGGACGTCGCCGTGGACGCGTGGGCCAAAGAAGATGCAGCAGACCGCCTGGACGATCTCGAGAACATGGTGGACATCATGGAAAGGATGGAGCGCAACCGCACGGAAAATCAAGCAGAGATTCTCGGTGTTTTGAAGGTGAGCATGGGTGGTTCTTCTAATCTAGCGCTGCGCCAGAAACTCAGCAGCGTTGAGTTACGTCACTTCACATATTGCCGATTGGTTCGCCGCCCGGTGTCGCCGCCGGCGCTCGGAACGGATATAATGTATAGGATACATTTCTCACCTATTGTGGGCGATCGGGGTTGTATCATTTCGTTGTCACGGCACTTCGTGGAGTGCGAGCATCACGCAGACTGGTTGCACGTTCGTACATTTCAGGTGAGCAGGGTGGGTTGCGACCGGCGATCATCTGACATGTCTCCATCCTTCAGAATTATCCTCGATGCACACCTCTACATGTCACGCAGGCACTCCGAAAAGACGAGCGGTCGGAGCTAACGGAGTGGGACGAGATCGACTATGACAAAGACTTGGACTTCAAGGGCAGCAGCCGCTCGGGTCGGGGGGCTTCGGTGAAGTATGCACGGCCAAGTGGAACGGGTCGCACGTAGCGGTGAAGCGTCTCCTAGCGGGCGACCTTCATCGTGACGATGTCCGCACCCTCAGGAAGGAAATTCGAATTCATTCCAATCTGCGCTTCGACCATGTCGTCCAGCTATACGCGGCCTCTACGATACGATACCCCCCCGCCTTTGCCTGGTCGTCGAGCTCGCTAGCCGGGGCTCCCTGCGGGAGAACTTGCACTCATCGAGCGAACCGCTCGCACACGCGCTGCAGACGGCGTTCCTGTACGACATTGCCCGAGGCATGTCGTTCTTGCACAAAAAGGGTATTTTGCATCGCGACCTGAAATCTGCGAACGTGCTCATGTTTGCCAATGGTCGCCTGAAGCTTTGCGACTTCGGGCTGTCCAAAATCAAGACGGAATCCTCAAGCAGGTCGAAACGAGGGGCTGTGGGGACCGCGCAATGGATGTCACCAGAGGAGATGGACGAGAGCCCGGCAAGTGAACGAACGGATTTATACAGGTGAAGGGTGGTTGTCGGACGCAATGGTATCCGATTGCGGCTGTTTGTGGGGGACGGTGGGTTACATATCGACCTCTCACGTTCGAGTCATTGTCCCCGTTCGCCCCGTGATCATTCAGTGGTGTTCTCCTGCGTGGAATTTTCGTTTTCGTTTTGCTGTCCGGAGACAGTGTTGCGGATTGTGAAACCGCCGTGGGGTCTATCACCAAACAAGACGGCACACTACAGTAGTCGCCCCGTCGCCCCGAAATGCGCTGTGATGTTGTTAGAGTCCTCACCCCAAGGGCACGAACCTCGATTGCGATATCAAAGTTACCGTGCTACTTGTCCAGACGAAAGAGGAAAGACAACAAGAACGTTCTGGGTCAGTTCATATCGAATCAGGCCCCGAACCTCTCCATACAGTTGATACTGGAAGTGTAATGTTTTCAATATTTTTCGTGCTTCGGGGCAACTTTCTCTGGCTTCAGCGAGCCGTTTCACATGCTTTCTTCGAAGAGGTGCACAGTGGCTTGTCGACGCACTGCCGCGCATGTGTGAGAACTGGCAGTCATCCGTGGCACATGCGTTCCACGCCTAAAGCCGTCGCGCCTGGATCTATTTCGTGGGACTCCGCACCCAAGAGCCTTCGTAGGGTATCATCGATTTCACTCATACACACAAACAGGAACGATTTTGACTCCCGCGCTACACACACCCTCACGTACCATGAGCAACACTACACCAACGTTCGAGAGACAGACTTCAAGAGGAGCAGGCTGTTGCAGTCGGGTCAGCGGCAAAGAAGCAGCTAGACTACAAACACGCACAATACACACCCACACCCACACACGCAAAAAATGTTGGGAACAAAACCCCTTTCCCCGTAAACGGCATGATACGATATTGTACAGTTTGTCGCATGAAAAGCAATACCAAGGAAGTTCGGGAGAGCTAAGATATGACCCGTGACAACGTGTCCTCTTGCGTTCCTCCAGGAAGGTAGGTCACCAATCTCTCGAAGGGTAGCCTTGTACATGCATCATTGAATGATTCCACTTCCATTAGACTTTCTCCTCGCTACCTTGTTCATACTATTGGGAATGGCGGAGTGAAGTTCGTCTACGTAGAATTAGGGTTCAAGGCCTCCTTTCATGTTGGCCAAGTTGTCCATCCGGCAGGCTTGACCTCGTGATCTGACGGGTACTACAGAACACCAATATCCACAACCTTCTGCAGTTGATTGAGGCTCCAAAAATCTGTTCAAGCAGCGACTGCCTCCATGTCGCCGTGCCGTTTGACCCCCGTAACCAGCACGGACTGCGAGACGATTGTGGAGACCGGCCAAGCGCCTCTGTAGTATGCATGATTATTGTGATGTCTTGTTTCAGCAACCCATTTAGACCCAGGGTTGATGGAAGGCAGGGGAAAGTGCGCTCACAGCTAGTCCGGGGCCCACACGGGCAACATCCCATCACGGAACAAAGCCTAAAAACCGGAAGAAGGAGCATTTTCCAGCACTGTTGTGCCCACGCCAAATCCCCCACACTCTCGTTTCCTTTCGTTTCCGGACCCGGAAGGACATGTCAGGACAATAGCTGCCCAAAATTTCTTTTGTTCGACACGGCGGTGGGTTGAAGTGGAGGCGGTGCGCGAAAACATCAACGAAATGTTTCGCATATGATCCCAGGACGCCACTTCATGGGCGTCCCATTGGGGCAAAGC